CTATCTATCTATCTATCTATCTATCTATCTATCTATCTATCTATCTATCTATCTATCTATCTATCTATGTTACACACAGTTCATTTTGCTCCAAGGAAACCAGAATTGATATAATCTCTACCTCTATAACACACATGTGTACCTCCTTAAGAACACTGAGAGCTCCTGCCCTTTGGTGTCGCTTTAGCCTGCGAACAGGCTCCCAGTAAGCCCAAACAAAGCATGGCGAGGACAGAAAAAAATTGGTGAATAAAGCTGGTGGATGTGCACGAAACTGTAGAATTTGGAGAGCGAAGTCGTCGAGGCACTTTGTCAGAGCTTGACCTGAGCCTGTTTGCAGGCTAGTGTCGATTTTAACCCTTTCACCCCTTTTGGGGAAAACCACATATTTTGTAAAAAGGTAACTATAGACCCAAGGACCACAAATAGTATACCATTTGAAAGATATTATTTGTGGGATACCATACACCATACTAACAGCCATAGACGAAGCCTCAGTTTGAATTGAAAATCACTCAAAACAAAAAAAAAAAAAAGAAAAAAGTTAAAAAATATCTCACTCCTTGTATAGTTGAGGTATACCCCTACAACATAGCTTAATATGCAGCTTTTAATGTGTGGGTCATTGTCAGATATTAACTTGACCTTAAAAGTCTTGGAGGAAAAAGTTGCACAATTTATAGGGGTGGTTCATCAAGTCTCGTACAGGAGGGGGTATGATTTTACGCTTTCAAACGACAGATGTCCAAGACCTTTTTGCTGTTCACATTTGATAAAAATTGACCAAATATTAAGCATGTAATGGTATTTTTAGCCACATGGCACTCTTGGGAGTAAGAGGGTTAAAGAGGTTGGACTGTATCTGGTTTTATATTGGCACACCGAGGGCTATCACACAGAAGATTTATGACATTTGTGAAATTTGTACAACTTTCATTGTACATGCATATCACTTTGACCATTAGGCAAACTTCATCATATGTACTATTCCCTTTAAGGGCAAGTTAATAATAGCTGCACATTTCACTTAGCACTCAATGCTGCTTGCTTTAAGCAAGACTTCTTGCTTAAGGTGTAAAAATACTACTCAACTGTTTAAAATAAACTGCAATATAAAAGAAGAATACTGTAGTAGACAGTGTATGAGATGCATCAACAATGTCAGTTAGCATGCTTTGCAACTACAATTATTATTTTACCAGTCATAAGTAATACTCTAGTCTGTAATGTAGGCATGTGGGGAAGGGTTAGGGGAGACAAAAACTCTCACTTCCTGGTCTCCCCCGTTTTACACCTGCTATGCAGACTAGCATTACACAACCATATGTGTACCTTGCTTTTCTTTTGAGGTAATGAAGAAGAAACAGTGGGAGTTCAAAATTTAAGTTAAATGTAACAGGCAGCCATTCTGGTCCCCTCTTGAGCAAATCATCCTCCTTGCCATTTTCATGGAGAGTTGCATTCTGACAAACTGCTGCTAAGAGATCTTTGCATACCAGGCTATTCTCATTGGGAAACTGGTTTATAAATTGACCACTTTCTTGTAAAGATCTAGGAAAGAAAACAAAATCAATCAAATTTATTTTCAAAGCTAATTAAAAAAACCTTGGTCACAGGTGAGTACATGATCAAAAAATTTTCCCCTTCAATTCCAACAACACGCCAATCATTCTCATTGGAAAACTGGATTATAGATTGACACTTTCTTGTAAATATCTAGGAAAGAAAACAAATTCAATTAAGCTGTGCTTTGCTAATTAAAACAACCTTGGTCACGGGTGACTACTTTAGTAGCCAGAAGTGATCAAAAAAATTGTTCCCTTCAATTCCAACAAGACTGACGTCAACATACATCCAGTGTCAAGCAAACATGTGAAGAGAGTAAAGAAATCTTCAACCTGGAGATGTTGCCTCGATTTACGATGAAATACTCCAAAGCAATGTTAAAGCAATGTTAAAGCAAGGTATGAAAATTAAGCAACGCATCTTCAGGGACAAGAGTGTCTAAATGCTTGATACTGCCATTACCCAAGATTATTTTGGTGTGTTACACAATGACATGTTGTTGCACTAAAGTTGCTGGTGAACAAAACATATCAAAATAATTTCTTTTCCAATCAAAATGCCACTGACTAAGTCTTAACCCAACCTGAAATCTTTAAAATGTTGCCCAATCCATAAAATGTCTGCTTCTTCTCTACTGTCTACTAAAACAAATCTTGGATGTGTCAGAAACTCTTTCACTTGTTGAACATCAGTGAACACAAGATAAATCTTTCCACTGTCAGGCTTTGATGCAGTAGGTTCTGTGTTCTCTAGGCTGGGATAAACTTCAGCCTGCCAGTCCTGTGAAAAATTATAAAAAAAGCAGATTTGATCTTGATCTTTTTTACACACATACTACATCTTAGAGGGAGGTTTGGTGCCCTAGCAGGGCAAGTGCACTAGGCTCTGCCCAGGGTCATTGTGTTATGTTCTGGGCATGACACTTTAAAGTGCCTCTACCAACCCAGGTATAGAAATGGGGAGGGAGATAAATTCAAACATCTTTTACAAAGTTTTGGTAACTTGGCTGATTCATAATGATATAAGCAACATCAAAACATGTTTTTACCACAGTCAACATTTTCCTAGTTAGCTCACCAAACTGACCAAACTGCATAATTTGCTCATATTAGTCTAATTAATTCAACTGTCCCAGTCTAGAAAATTCCAGTAATACTTAAAACTACAAACCTTTGTCTGCAATGCACTGAGTTCATTTCTTACAAATTCCAACGTTGTTTCATCAGATAACTTATCAATCCACTCTTTGTCTGTCAACTTCTCAGGAAACCACGGCAACAGACAACACTCTCTCATAATAGGCTCCTTGATATGTGGCAGATAGTCTCTGGTAACCTCCTCTGAATTTACAAATGATTCATTGATTACACACAGTTAGTGAAACTAAGGATCGAACTCTACAGTTGACTGTTTGCATTTCCTCCTCTCCCTCTGGATCACCTTGTCTCCTGCTTTTGCACAGCCATTTTGTTTTTGATTCCACGTATTTTATTTGTGTTATGTAAGTTATTCTAGGTAACAACTATCGTACAAGACCTGTATATTAACTTGTATATTCAAATTTAATGTTCTTCTTTTGAACTCACTCCATGATCCACAAGGGATGAACTGTATGATCAGGGAACACACAAATTTACTCACCTAGTGACGTGAAAACACGTCAAGTGAATAGTTTAATTAGCAACTGGAGTGTGACATGTCATGACATGACATGACATGACATGACATGTGATAACAGAAAAAAAGTAATTAAAAATAGTGTGTGACTCTTGATACATACATACTAACTCCAAATATTTCAAGGCTCCCCATTCTATACATATACCACGAGGGCCACAAAATGCTATTTTAATTTAATTAACAACAAACCTCCATAATCCATGTCCTTCAAAGGCCACAATACTGAAAAGGTGACCTCAAGAGGTGCATAATGAATCATGGCTACAGCAAAGGCGGGGTCATCTGAATGCTTTATACAAGAACCAAATTCATCCATGACAAACCACAATGGAGTATACTGCTCATCATCATCGTCAGTGATGCTCTTTTCATAGACTTGGCCATCAGAGTACGAATATGCCTGAAAATATGAAACAAAGAGTACTCTGTGGTAAACTACAATCACAGCACTGTAAAATAATTAGGGGATTAGCACTTGAAAGGGGTTTGCAAATGGGATATATATATTTATACATATATCTTTACCACTAGCAAGACACTTGAAACTCAGTTTTTGCAAGACTTTTATCCTCTAATTTGCACATTCAGACAAACATTTAAAGCCTGAATCTATATTTATCAATTGAGGCCAATACGTACAGTTTAAAATTATATTCAGGGTTCCCGCAGCTCAGCTGGAAAGTACCTCTTCAGGGAAATGCTAAAGTGCTGGTCAAAGTCAGTTGAGAGAGATTGCGTTGAAAATTAATTTCCTTTTAGAGGTGCACGATGACAAAAACCTTCTTAATGAGCTAGGGCCAATTTCAAGTTCTCAAGAAGTGCCACGGGAAATTTGACTGCCTCATTTACGAAATGCTATTCATCAAAGAACTGAGGCCTAGCCTTAACACTCAGAGTGACTCCATCAGTGCTAAACTCTTTGTTTAGCTTGTAGCATATTTTTAGGTTACCTTTCTTTTTAATGAACTATTGTTTTTCTTGTATTTATAGAATATTCATACCGTTTTTTTTCACTTGATAATGACATTCGAGAACATCGAAACGTCGTGTATTTTTTAACCGTTTTTAAAACGTTAGCTAAATATTATACTATTATTATTAGCTAAATAATAACAGTGTAAATAACTGGTTTGGCTACTTTTTCTTTTCTTTTTTCTGGAAGGTGCTATAGCCTAATGGTTAGTGCACATGGTAGACTCCAGATTGAGTGCCTTGGGTTAGAACCCTGGCTGGGGTCATTGTGTTGTGTCCTTTTAGTAAGACAATACTCTCAACGGGCTTCTTTCCACCGGTTGTACCAGGTGCATCTCATTTGGGAGGTGGGAGGGGGGGTTCAAATACTCCTATTCACAAATGCTACGAAAATCAGAGATAATAATTAGCAACAGCCTGATGGGCTACTAGCTAGGCTTGCACACAGTTGAAAACGCACTAATTGTTTAAGTTCTGGTCAGTGAAAAGTCAAGGCCTATTATAATTGCTATTAATGTTGCAGTTCCTAGGGAGTAATGCTTTAATTATCCCGACAAACACAAGCAATAAACACGCGTTCTACGGCGTAAAGGGGGGAACACCGCTCCGCAATCGGCGTGACAGACGAACTTCCATTGTGTGACCAAATGCCGAACTTATCTCCCCAGCGGTTAATTCTGCACTGGATCGGACAAGTCGGCGAGGCCAAAAGCTTGCGCGTCC